TGAGTGGATAGCATACCGTCGATGGACCGGGCTGATACCTCGTTGCACTTAGTGGTGGACTTCTTCGATGCAGCTGGTGAGATGATGAGTGGCATTGGGGACGAATGTTGCTGGCCTCTTCACGGTTATAATAATAATCATGCCTGGAAGGTGAGTACAGTCTGTACTCACCCCTGAAGATGTGAATTACACGAAAGCGCTTGGGAACTTCGTGTTTTCTTCTTTCCTTGTGGTTATGAGCATATATATATATATATATATATATATATATATATATATATATATATATATATATATATATATATATATATATATATATATATATATATATATATATATATATATATATATATATACATATTTATTTATTTTTTTATTTTATTTTTTTTTTAATTCGCAAGTACTATGAATAATCCCATGCACTAGACAATAACTATAAAACAATAAAGTTAATATTTTTTACAACTTACTGCATCCAACCAATATAACGGCCAAGACGTCACCTGCACGCAGTGTTGCCACTTCGTGGGATTCTCCCTCAAATTTTTGTGAGAAATGGAGTACGTGGGAGGTGTTGTGGGAGGACGCGCGGTCTTGATAATAATCTGTGTATATTTTTATGTGAATTTTCAAGCAATGGTAAATAAATCATTTCAACACAAGAACTACTTAGCATGTATCGCAATCTTATGCAAATAGTTGTAGAGAATCGATCCCTGTCCAAGTGTTCACAAGACTCTAGTGAACCTCCCTAACTTGAAGTTTATGGATCATCTGATTTCACTCTGTGCTATTCAGTTTGGCTATGATTTCAGTACTACAGCTGCGAATTGCCTTCTGAATAAAGCGCAGATAACATATGTCAAAGAGCGATGTATGAAGTTCGTTGTAGAATTGCTCAAAGAAGTCCAATTGCGTCTTCCTGAGAACAATGAAACATTGCTTATGATAAAACAGCTGCACCCAACCATTGCAACTTCTCAGTGCAAAGAACAAATTGCATCTATAGCTTCCAAATATCAATTCACATTTACAGATATGGATGAACTCGAGAATGAGTGGAATACATTGGGGTTTGAAGAGTGTCCAAAGTCATGTTTTAGCAGTACAGTGTCATTCTGCGCTGAAGTGAATGATAAGACACTCAGTTGGACAAAAGTCCTTTCCTAATATATCTCCCTTAGCTTTAGCTTTGCTCTCACTCCCATTTTCAAATATGTCAGTGGAAAGAATATTTTCCCAAATGAATGTTGTGCATTCCAAACTAAGAAATCGCATTAATGTGAGGTCAGTTGAAGCAATTTTAAAATTCGATATGGACTAAGGCTGGAGTCAAGGACATGCGTTTCCTTCATTCCTAGTGATGAAATGCAGAAAAATTTTGGGATACAGGATCCTCCAACAAATGAAGATGGAGGCGAGCCAGAGGATGTTGTAGTGGATTCCTCCCTTACAAACGCTTGTCGCTGTGTAGCCGACCCCGCGAATTCCCCAGTGTATGCCTCGAGGTCCAGGTCAACCAGCGCCGCCTTACATGACGAAGGTCAACTATTAAGCCACGCCTACCTCCGCTATATAAGACCTGACCTCGTGGTGACCTACCTCTTTCAGCCGAAATAAATACAACAAGAGGCCCAATAACTATTGGAACTTCATATCTAACATTCAGAAGGCCAATATTCCCTACAGGGGACATCTTAAAACTAATGAGGCAAAACAATCCAGCATACTTCATAGGAGACCTTAATGCTAAACACACAACCTTAGGACACAATATTAGAAACCCAGGAGGAAAAATCCTCCATGCTCTCATCGAACACGGGACAATAACACACCTCGGGCCCGACTTTGCAACTTACGCATGAGCCGGTAACTCTGGGAAACCAGACATTGTTTTAACCAATAGGCATCACCATCTAAAAGCTGGACCCACAACAACCAGTGATCATCTACCCATAATAGCAACGCTATCCACATCCCCGATACAAATTCCATCAATCCCAAGATTTTCAATCAATAGAGAAAATTGGGAAAAATTTAAATCGGATCTTAGCAACAACGAACCAACACTACTACACAACAAAGACACAACAGAGATTGACATAACACTGGATACATGGTACAATGAAGTAATAACAGCAATGAAAAACAACATACCGTACATTACCACACGCACAATTAACATATGAAGAGAAAATGATCCAAACTAGATTCACCAATCTATATGAATACACAAAAACACACGGGTGGAGCAATGACAACAGAATATTATACAGGAATCTAAAAGAAGAACCGAAAGAATACCCTCCGATACCTCTGAACACAATCGCAAGAACAAATCAACTTAAATTTCAAGCAGTGCAAAATATAGCCCTCAGAAGAGCGGCAAAACACCAACCACCATACACACAAACAGCACAAGACATACACACAGAACACGGCATAGACCCACTCAACACCAGAATACACACCCAAGCAAATGCCATATGGGAACAATCCAGCAAGAACAGGATCCCATACTAAACCAACTAATTGAGGGAAACAACAACACATCGCACAGATGGTGGCCTAGAAGCATAAAAAATGATAACGAAGAACCAGAGCCTCTATATACAAACTAAAAACGAACCAAAAGATGGGCACAACTCTCCAGTCACACAAAGACCTGGAGGGACCCCACAAATAAACAAAGACCTAAATAGTTCACAAACACCCACAATAAAAAAACTAAAAACGAAAAAGATGGGGATCATCCCTCCAGTGCCACAAGGACCTGGAGGGGATCCCCCCCCTATCATAATATGCCCCAAGGAAACATCAAATAGAACAACTTAGCTTAGCTTGGCTGAGACCGGCCTTCCTTAACCGCATGAGTCCTCTAATGCAGCACTGTTGACGGATGACAAAAAACCCCGTCTCTATTTCCCACTTCTGAACTTTACCTTGTACTGTACCCTCAGAGCAAATGCTCTCTTCTCTCCGTATCACCGACCGACCGACCTACCTCTTTCTACCTACAGCCAGTCTTCAAGTAACACCACCTCCACCACTCCTGCCTGGCGGCCCTCGCTCCCGCCGGCGAGCATGACGACCCACAAGCTGGTCCTCCTCTGAGCACCCTCACCAACCAGCCCTCCCTACTCACGCTTGTAACCACGCTGCCTTCCCAGCACCAAGCTGCACTTTACATCCAATACAATATGTATACAGAGAGCACATTGTGAGTCACCTTTCTCCATCCCATAATGAGTGTGAACAAACATCTCGTACCCCACACTGTGTTAGTTGCCATAGAATCCCAAAAGATACACGTACACAACAGACTTATCATCTCTGCAACCTATTATGTGATGTAAATTATGAGGCTAAAAATTCTAGCTGATAATAAGTGAAAGAATCACACTTCGTAATTAACTTTTATTTTGAATGTGAATTCAGTCTTGGTAACAAGTTTTTGTTGAAAAAACTTTTATTTCATCCATAGTGAATACTTTTGTTTGAAATGTAAGATAATTTTAATTGTTTTATTTCATGAAATTGTTTAAGCAAAAGAAACGCATTCAGTGTTTTTTTAACTTGAAATCCTATTTTCTTGCATAAAAGAACTGTTGTACAGACATGTAGTTTGAAAGTTTAATTATTTTTATTTTACATTACTACACAATAAACATAAAACAATTATGTTCCATTATTCATAAGCATCCCAGTGTTTTGTGTGAAGCATCGCAAGATCTGTGTGAGAAATGAGGTAAATTTGTGGGAAGTTAATCCCTGAGAAGTGGCAACACTGCTAGGGAAAGCCCCGAGGCCCCTGACTTCTAGTATTGCAAGATAAGTTTACACGAATGGGAAGACAGTTTAAGCTAGGTTCCTCTTAAATGAAATCGCCCCCCTCCCCCATTAATAATTATAATCTGTAGTTTGTCCTTCATGAGCTGGTAATCCCTGTAGTTGAAGTCGCGGTTTTCCTCCTCAGCTACTCTTCCGATTTTCAAAGAGAGTATTCCACCTTAGTGAGTTGTAGTCGATGGCCGCAATTAGTTTCTCCCCAACTTGGACCTCGGCCACCATGGCCTCCTCAGTCAAGTCCAAATGTAGATAGAATGTTGTCTCCCCTTCTGAGATTCGTCACGTGACGTGGTAACTCTGGAATGCCTTTTGAGGTGTGAGTATCACATCCCGAATAATTTTATTTTCTTGGCCGTTCGTACGTACGCCCACGCCCACATTCCTACTTAAAAGGGGAACGATCAGGACCAAACTCCTCATAGACGTCGAAACAGGCGGGAGGGGAAGGAAACGCTATGATTTTCTGTAGTCATTAACCACAGTAAAAAGAAGTAAGGAATGTTTAAAAAGTCTGATCTCACACTTACAAAGTATTTTCTTGAGCCTAAAATTTTGTATAATAGACATGGGCAAATTCAGAGACCAATTGTACACGTAAGAGTACGAATATTGACATGCACGAACACTTGAACTGTTGATGTTTAAACTGGTAGACAATTGTACGCGTGCACACATACAGTTTTTTTTACAGTTAACAAATTTATTGGCAAAGCTTCGAGTACAGTTTGCCTATTCTGGACCTATAACTTTTTTTTTTACAGTTAATAAATTTATTGGCAAAGCTTCGAGTACAGTTTGCCTATTCTGGGCCAGCACAACACAAACTGCACACATACACTGTCCACATTAATCGAGATACGCTCTATTCATGATAGGCATTAAGCTAATACACACGCACACACATACACGAGACATGCGAACACATACAATCCGTGTATAAACCTGTATATTCATGCACACACGGACACACTGAAATCACAATAATCGACGGCTACACGCTCACACCCACAAGGATATGCGTTTAGAGGACAGAACGTTTCGAAGGTAAAATTCTAGCCCTTAGGCTTAATGTAATGTTGAGTAGTCTCGCAACTCGCTCCCAACTGCCACACACCCCCAGCCACAGTCCACAGTCCACACGGTGTGTCTGAGTAGCAGTTGCCAGTTGCTAATCTGTCGTAGTGTGACTCGGATGTACGATGGAAAATATCTCTATACTTTATATGGGTTCCTTTTAAGATTGTGTGGAATTACCTATATTCATTAAGGTAAGACATTAATTTATTTTCAATATGATATTAGAACCTGTTCATATCTGATGGAAAATCTGTATTTAAAAAAAAAGTGTAGCATACGTATTACGTGGCTTTTTAACCGTTGTGCGTCTCGTCTGCTTCGCCACAATATAGTATTTACATGTTGAATTTTACACCTTGACAGCGCACTCCTGAGTAATGTATCCGTTATATATCTCTAGGTAGAATTAAAATAATTGTAGACATGAAAGAAGTTGGTGACGGCTTAAAAACTGGGACGTAGACGTAGCCGAAATGGCGGTTTATGTCATGAGAATATATATTGTATACCCAGTATACTATGCAAATTGACAAGCCCTTGTAGGCAAACATGAAACATATCATAAAATAATGAAAACTAACTTACAATATGACGTAAGGGATAAACAAATAAAACATCACGTACTTTATGGTAGTCTCTCAAGTTTACTAATCGTACGGGTATTTGTTTCGCCAGTACGGCAGTAAATGTTAACAATGAACCATATCTTGCTTCTCGAATATTAACAAGGAAAATTCCCCCCAAATCCCAGTAACAAGCTTGGTGTTAGGGAATTCCCCTTTCGGGACCTCGGGAAATTATTCACGTGGCTTCAACACCCACACTTTCTCTCCTCGTACACCACCACAAGTTTATATCGTTAAAGTATATACACTGTACATGAACAATGTGGCTAAACAGAGTACCTACATAGTGTTGATAAACGATGTCACGTAGTGTTGATGTACTTAGTGTAGACAAAGTGCATAGACAGTGAAGCTACATACAAACAATAACATAGTACAGGTATACAGTACAAAGAATGTACGTACATAGCGCAGGTATACATTGTTAAAACAGGAGGTAGAATGAATAGTCCAATATTACTTCAGAATTTCTTAATGTTACTGTAAATGAGCTTAAACTAATAGGGACCACTTTTTTAAGTTGTAGGTCTGCTCTTAGGTGGCTGGCGTTGGGTTTGATACACATGGTCAAGGTGGTGTAACCCTGAGTTGGCTATAAAGGTGACTCAGGGAGTTTCATCAACTTAATCATGTGTGTGTTATGAGAGCTGGACCTGATTAATTATATAAATGAGGTGCAAAAAGTCCAGGTAAGGACACTCGTTCGACTGAAGCACACTAACGGTAAATTAGCATTAGTAGGAACTTAGCCGGCCACGGTAAAATATCTTCTGCGCTCTTTATTTTCGTGTTTTTAGGCAGTGGTTTCCGAGCATTTAGTAACAGTTTACTGAATTCAGCACTGGAGTACCGGTAGTGCCCAAAGACTTTTCCAACCGACCCCAAAGTTTCACAGAAGGCTTGAAACTTCCCTCTTGGTAAAGGTAGGGTGTCGGGCTAACCCAACATGGAACATGAAATGTAAAATGTTTGTGCGTGTAGGGTAAAATATAATTAGAAAAAAATATTTACATGTTCAGGTACTTGTATAACTATACATTTGACATCTTTTTTGTTTTTATAATAATCCTATTACTATGATTTAAATGTGTGCTCATTTTAACTTACGCTCCATTTTTTTAACGGGATTAGCCCACCCGGGCACAAGTCAAAGGACCCACATCAGAACCTGGGGGGGGGGGATATAAATAATAATAATAATAATAGTTAATAAAAATAAAAATATAAAAACAATGATGAAATAATAATAATAATAATAATAATAATAATAATAATAATAATAATAATAATAAAGAACTATAAATAAAAAAAAATCAATAGTGAGAAACGATGTATGCATGTTGTGTTGTCAATAGTGAGAGAAACAATCGAGACCTTGTAATTGTGTGTAAATGAGACAGAAAGTCAGATCAGCAACCTGGGACTCGGTCACAATTTTTGTGATGCCATATGGCAGCAGGGTCTACCATTAGATAACACATTATGCTTCCAATATCTTTCCAGGCGGTAGTACCTCCCTGTTTGATAGCTGCTGACTACATACTACTTTGCCTGTCCTCTTAAAGGCGTTTATTACGCCTAAGTGCCATCATCATGTCTGATAGTTGGCATGACATCAGTCTTCTACTCTTAAACGTTTTCAGCTCTCTGGGAGATCACAGCTTTTAATTTTATTCATCCATCAGTCTCTGCCTTCACCTGGACCGCCTACCCTCAATTTTGCCTATTAATATTTCTACAATTATCCCCCCATTCTTAAATATATGGGCAAAATATCTTCTCTACCTTATTCTCTAAATATAATTTTTTGTTTTTGTTTATATGAATCTTAGTACCCACTTCAATATGGGAAGAAATCTACCCTGTACTTCCTACTGCATCGGTAAAACATACACCAGTAGGTCATTTCTACCATCGTTGCAATGCAACTTAACCCTCTTACTACAGGGACGCCGATTTTAATATTTTATTTGGCTAACGGCAGACGATTTTATTCAGCAGAGGGGGGGGGGGGGTTCAACGTACACAAGTGGTTAAGTCGACTTTCTCCCTAAGATTGTGTGAGTGCAAATCAGTAACATTCAACCAGGAGGTGTGGTGGTTGGGAGGGTGTTGTCCAGCATGGCAGCGTTTGGTACACCAAGGCTGCAGTTCGCAAATTAGACACAGGGTTAAAATTGTGTATTCGAATATTTGTGATATGGATTTGTGGCATGTGACTGATAACTACGGTAGTCTCCCCGAAGCTTTTATAAAGCAACCCGGGAACTGAAGACTGTAATGTACCAGCACAACACGACGAGGAAACTTCAGGTTGGTAACACGTGGGTCTGAGGCGGTAAATCCCCGGCTAGTAAGAGTATTGTAAGTGTTTTGGTTAGGGTAGGTCAAAATTAATGATACGTCACGTTGCGTTTGGTTTGGTTAAGGTAGTGTTACATATGTGGTGAAGATTTAATTTCATTTAAGGTAAATTTTCATCATATTCAATGTCAAAAGTTCATTTACAGTTCATATGCATTACAATTTAGGTTGATGTGTTATTACAGACTGCCACCTGTTTGCTAATTTACGTCTAGGCTAAGGTTGGTAGGTAGAAAGATTGGTAGATAGACAAACAGATGGATTTTTATTAAGTAAGAATCGCCAAACAAGTTCACAAAGTTAACATCTATGAACAGAGGGATAGTGGCACCCAACCCTCAGAAACTGGTCAACTGCAGCCGATTGAACATTTCCTTCAGTGACAACCACAACAGCGCTGTGGAAGGGTGGAGAAATCCGGAATGTCACCAGGGACACGCAATAATAATAATTGATATTCAGTCAGCTTGACTAAGGATAGCTGACAATGCCACGATAGGCTTGCTTCATGTGCCTCTATGGACTTCAGAGTGAAGTTTGGTGATTCAATCCCAAAAGAACGTTAATTGTGAAAAAGACCAAATTTGCATTTTCACTTTTTTTTCTCTAAGTGATGTACGCCGGATGTTTACCACGTAGCTTTTGGTAGAATGATAAGCTCGTCATGTCCTGTCTTCAAGTCAGTTGTGGTGAGGCTGTCTTAGGCTTAACTGCCCCGTGTCCTCGGCTATACAGGCACTCAGCATTGTGGTAGAAGCGGTACCGCTCGTGCCTCGCAAGCAAGATGTCTGGGGTTCGATTTCCGGGCCGGCGGAAGTTGTTTGGACACTCTTCCTAGCCCCCTTGGTCCCTGTTCACCTAGCAGTAAAGTAGATACCTGTTGTAAATCGAAAGGTTGCGAATTCGTATTCAGGGAAAGTTGTTGGCGTTTCTAAACTTGGAACTAACACAATCAGTGGTGACCCGAGGATCACACACCCAACGCAGACAAAACCAAATACGTGCGCTATGCGCTAACCAAATAAACGCAGTCGTGTAAAGCCACGGCACTATCTCTCCCACTACAATTGCCTTCCTAACCTCCTGCTCCTTCCTGTCATCTTACCCGCTCTGCCTTTCGCTACCAACAACTTTTGGAGCTTCTAAACTTGGAACATGATCCAGAAAGTTTTAAAGCTAGTAGTATTGCCATACGTCCGTATTTTCCCGGACATGTCCTCCATTTAGGTGTCGAAATCTTCATCCGGAAGTAATTTTTAAAATTCTTCAAAAGTCCGGAATTTTAGCTTCCATTATTTTCTCCACGGAAAAACAAAACAAAACATGAAACTGTAATGACGAGAGAGAGAGAGAGTGGGGTCAGCTGATAAGTCACGTGTACGCTGTACGGTGTTGTCAACTTAGCTGCTAGCAGTTTTTGGGCTGGCATGTAGTGCCATGTACTACTGCTTTTCCTTGCTCTTAAGCCACGCGCATTATTATTATTATTTTTTGTATTTTGTGCTATTACAGCCATAAATGAAATGTTGAAAGTATACCATTTTTCTTATGGCTTTTTTTTACACTGTAGCATTTGTTTTTCTTGTCCTGCATTTAAGGCATTTTAGCAATTTTCAACCATAATCTTGATGTGCATGGGCACATCAAGTCACACACACACAGTGGGGGAAGAAGACTGCAGCTAAGCAAATGAAGATATTCAGCCTTAAGCAAAGGTATTTATTTTTAAGATTTCTATTCCATGTATGTTGTATATTAGCCTACATTAAAGGCACAATGCAATACAGTATACATACATACATACATATATATATATATATATATATATATATATATATATATATATATAATCATAGACCTCACCAGTCAGGACTCGAACCCTGGACCTAATGCATGGGACCAGGGAACACTACCGACCATACCACAAGAGCACTAAAAGCAGTTCTAGACTATGTGATATTTCACACAAAGCCTGTTCATCGAGCTGATGGCGCCGTGAACCTCTCATTGGGAACTGCCCGTGCTGCTTATGTGGATGTCAGTAGCATTTTACCGAATCCAGCTGGTATGAAACGCGAGGTACCATGTATACTTCATTTTTAGTCCATATAACACGCGGACTTTGAACATCATGCATTAGGTTGTGGGGTTCAAGATGTTTGGTTCACACTCAGGATGGGATGGAGAAAGGAAACTCACAA